GCTTTAAAATTGGATTAGTAGAATAAGCTTCTGATAATCAAATAATTATTTTTTCAGTTATTTATTAATACAACAATATAAGTACATCCTACTCGCCACTTCTTATATAATTGAGAAGATGCACGTATCCAGCCTACCTAGTATTTTAATTGAGGTGGATGTTTTCAGTATCTTATTCGCTACTATTCTCCAATGAAATAGCTATCAGTATCCAGTTGAAGTAGATATTGAAAAATAAATAAATTCTGTAGTTTATTTGTACCAAGGAGATTTCTGTGCTGGGTAAAATAGGTTGATATGAAAAAATCAAAGTAAAAAATATTACCAGCTCTCAAGGAATACTTTAGGCTCAACAAAAAGTTTTGAATGGCAAGAAGCGAGAAGAATTCTGGCCATGCCACTTATTTTCTATTTACATTTCAACAAAAATTCTTTACTTGCCTCCTTGTGCACGTCAAGAAGTTCATGCACCCTTTGTTTATAGACCTAAAAGGGAATCGAAGATTTGATACTCTGCATTATTGCTCTAGAATAATAAGTGAATATCTTATTCATCTTTTCAAGACATGAAGTATCCTGCTTTGCAGATTTCAATTCCATTTTGATAACAGTTACTGACTTTATATATTCACGTACTACATTATATGAGGCATAGTAGTTATATATAATATATCTAATTTCTATATAAAATAATGTCAAACACAATTGATTTACTGAAAGAATTAAATTTTAAGCTCTTAGCTAAGATTACTGAACTTAGAAAAGAGAATGCTGAAATTCCTGTACTTAGAAAAAAGTTTGCAGAAGTCGAAGCTAAGAATGCAGAACTAAAAAAAGCTATAGAAGAAAATGCAGTGCTCAAGATCTGATTTGAAGAACTAGAAAAGAAACATCAAACAGATACTACCAAACTTACTGCTGAGAATACCAAGCTAAAAGATAGAGTTACAAAATTGGAACAAATGCGGACTCTAGTCACTATTAATAACCAAAATGCATCTTCTACAAAAGATAAGAAATCTATTATTACTGATTCTACACCTGAACCAATACACAGCTCAACCCAGCTACAGAAAGGTGAGTCTAGACCCGAAGGGTCATTGCTTTGCAATAAATATTTATTTGAATCTCCAACAGAGACTGTAACATCTATAACATCTTCACAACAAGATATTGTTGATGATAATTTGGCTAGTAGCCTTGAATTCATAGAAATAATATATAAAGAAAATATTGTAACTACTATTTCTTATAAGTGAAAGAAAGAACAAGGCTTAATTCAGGAAATAACTGCAGGTAATAGCCAGGATAATACACCCCCATTTACCCAAGTTCATGACTCTATATCTCCAGAATATGCAACTGAAATTTTGCTGTCTTCAGGTCAGGAAAAATCGAGCATTTTCCAAAATATGAAAAAGCATGTGATGCGGAACATGAATCAATAAAAGCTAATCAGGCTGAAATTTTATACTGGAGTAATTTTATTATAGTACTTGACAAAAGTCTTGATGAACTCATGGTTAGAGATAAAGTAAATATAAAAAAAGCTAAAGGTCAAGTTTATGATTTTATTATTGCACAAAATCCTGGTACTAGGCACGAATCACTATATAAGAAAATTGAAAGAGCTAGAAAAATTTACAGGTTATTCGAAAAAATAGGTCTAGATAAAGTAAAATATATTAAGTCATATAGTGCGAATGCTATTTCGAAATTTACCAATAAACAGATTCAAACGATTATTGATCATTTTACTAAAAATCACACCAAAGAATTCATCGATAACCAGGACAATTCTTCAGATGACTTACCCAAAACTGATGTAGATGAGAAAACTTTACCAAAAATTGAGGTGAGTACACTAACCATATCTCAGCCCAAGCTTCAAATTTAGCAGAATTAGCACAGTCAAAAGCCTCCTACGCCCCTCCAAAACTCTTCCCATTCAAGAGAAAGCTATCAAAAGAGATGCGTAATCCAGTTATTAATAAACTAACTTCACATTTTACTGACTCACCAAAGTTAGATAAGAATTATAGTATTGATACTAAAAGTGAGCATCAAACTGATTCCTATTTGGTTCTCGGTTCACATTGTCCACTATGTAGAGAAAATCATATGAGTTTAAATAGTAAGTGGTGGCTAGATAGTCGAAATAAAAATACATATTATTTATATTGCACTAATTTAAAAGAGCTAGGAATTTTATATGATGATGTACTAAAAGCATATTCTAGTAATTTGGAACTAATTCAAGAGTTAAAAACTCAATGCTTCACAATACCCATTCCTTGGAATAATGCTCTTATCTTACCAGATAAAAGTATAGTAGTAGAAGCATAGTCACTGTATAACCTTGTCTATAACAAGAAATCATGATTAACAATAATATATATATTATTATGTATTTATTATATCAATAAAGAGTTAGATCGTCAGTTCACATCACTAAGATTCTAACGCGTTTCAACCGTGACTCAACTGAGGTATGACTTTTTTCATATAATTATATAAGAAAAATTCAACCGCGACACAACCGCGACTCAACTACAACTCAACTGAAGTATTTGGACTAAGCGATCTTAAATGAAAATAATTATCATTATAGTACATCAAATATATCGATCTACTGGCAATCGTGAACAATTTGCAAATAAGTAGCTAAGCTTAATTCGATTAATTAGAAATGTTGAATAAAATAGTCATATTTTCTATTGAATTTAGATACTTACTAGCCGATTTTAAAATTAGGGGTTTCAATATTAAAACTAGAGAATCTCAATTTATTTTTTTTCGATTTATAGCGAAGCTAGTATCTTTGACACATAATTTACATAGTAAAAATGCTATTTAAAATTCTATGCCTTGGCATAAGCTCTGCTCTACTTATTTTGATACACAACTTATTAATTTTGAATTTTAATAACCCCTTAATAATTAAGGTTATTGCCACAACTGCAACATCTCAATAGTGATGCTGATTGTTAGTGATCTTTGAGATAGCTGATCTGGCAAGCTCATAGATATACAATTAAATTTTATAAGCAATTAGGTTTTAAATTATCTCGATATTCGTATCTATCTACGGTAAGTAGCCAATACAGCATTATGCTCCTTTTTGAGTTTCATAACATATTTAGTTAGTGCAATAATAAAAAAAGATATTTTTATACTGATCGTCATGCACTTTAATCGAGACAAAAGTGATGTTTGGTTAAACAACTCTTATACAATAGATAATAATGCATATCGTGAGATTTAGCAGACATACTTTTCTACAGCTGTTGAGATTTAAAATTTTTAT